AAACGGACGATCCCTCGAGGCGGTCATCGCAGAATATATCCCATCAAAACTCGGAGGCGTCGGCGGTAAGTTATGCAAATACTACGTGCCTTTTTTAATAATATATATACATACACTTTTCGACATGATGTAACACCGCAACGTTTTTTAAACGCCCCTATTTGCGCGACGGCCCTCCCCTACCGCCGCAGCCGCCGATTACTGTAGTACAACATACACTATTATACGTCTCAACCCGGACGCCTCCGGGCCGTCTTCCTTATTGTTATGTATAGCCTATTACATAAACGCGGTCGCCTTATTGGATACCGGTGATGTCGTTATTGCTGTAATATACATTTTCCGGCACCGTCGGAAACGTCATTTGCCGACAAAACCAACCACGGCGACCGTTTCCTGCCCGGGGCGCGCAAAAACCGTTTCCGAAACCGCAAAGACTATTATGATCATGGGTCTCCACGACACTGACGACTAACCTGACGGACTGGCACGGCTAAACAGTTGTATACTTTTGTGATAATACGTGTAAACTCGAGCCGTCATCCGGATAACGAACACACAGTCGTTTTAAACTGATTCGAACAGGCGAGTAGGCTGCCAATCAAAACGCGCATGATCACATTTTTTCAGAAAACGCAAAACAAAAAATTCAATCCAAATTTATGTTTTTCTAAGACCCCGCAAAAGGGTCACTTTCAAATTTTCAATGTAAATAAAAAAGTTGCGGCCATTTTGTGACGGACTAAATAGTATTGTACGTTATATCTATACACTACAAATAATAATAATAATAATGTATAGATATAACATTATAGTGGTATAGTCTTAAGAAGATGGCCGCCGCGTTTTTGTGTGGTAAGGATCTTCCCAGTGTTCATTTTTATCAGTGTCCGGGACCTACTAAGACTAGCCTGTTCTGGTTTGCACGTTTAAACCAACTGATAGCAGATTTGGATTCGCCGTCAAAAAACCTACTCATTTTCTCATGTCAGTTTGATTTCAACCTATTTATACAATGCATTTGGAGAGGGAAAAAAATAATTACCTATGTGCATATTAGGGTGGTTCATTGAATTATTTTGAACGTTATAATACGCATAATTACATTTAAATAATTACAATAATAATTTACACATACTTACACATTCCATCTTCAGAGCTGTAGTTTAATGTTGCTCGACGTTGGCAAACAAGTCAAACTACTCAAGTGGAAGTATCCACAAGTTGTGTAAATAGTGTAAATACACTACCACACTCAAGTTTTATAATTTTTTTTAATACCGTTTAATTATTATTTTTAGATAAGACCAATGAATTTTTACCTGCTTGTTTTATTTTATTAAGTTGAATTACGCCTTGATCTACGAACTTGAACGGTTATTTTGATATTTTTCACCAAGTTTTGATACCCCGTGTTTTTTTATAAAAAAAAAATCTAAAAAGGTATTAAACATAATATATTTCAAATAGGTAGGTCCAAAGTTTTGGATATTTGTTATAAATAAAATATATTCTATTAAAGCTAATTGAATTACCTATATTATTAAACAATATTATAGTCACAATAAACTTAGATCTGGTTGCTCAGGCGCTATCTATTGTACGATACCAGAGCTGACTAATTCTTCATGACGGCGTAAAGAGAGAGCTGGTGGTCAAATACAACTTTTGTACAACAGCTGGAGGAAACCAAAAACCATTCAAACTTATGTATAAAATACCAGAAAGTTTAATTGTAGATGTTCTGTGGAACCCCTATGTTAACTGGTCATAATATAAATTAATTACAATTGGCTTTAGATCACTGAATAATATTATTGTTAAAATAAAAATCAAGGTTAAATATAATTATCAAATTTAGGACTAGTATATTAAATTTTAGTTGTTCATAAACTATAATCTACCTTCATAAGGGCCAATCTCGCGTTTTGTAACTGGGCAAACCTTGCAAACTAACTTTAAAGTTTCTATTTCCCACAAGGCTTTTTTTAAAAACTCTTATAACTTTTTTCAATCTTGGATTTATAAGTGTCATGTTTTAACACAATTTGTAGAGTTTTAAAGTTTAGATTAGTCCTAATTATCCTAGTCGGGAATGGGGATAATTAGCTTTGGAAGAATGATACTCAAATTTATAATTATTATAAACTATCGATATCTAACACTGATTATTAAAAAGTAGTAATCAATAAAAAACTTCATAAAGTGTCCAAATCTAGTGTAAGTGAAACTTGAACTAAGTTTAAGTAGTTAACTAAGTATAAGTTTTTTTAAGATCTAGTCTAAGTTTCAGACCTTAAGTCCTAAAACTTCGCTCGAGAAAGAAATACATTTTAAAAGAAATAAAAAGAGGCTTTTATCCATTCTAGAAGAAAAGGTTTTTGATTTATTCTTAGAATTTTATCTTAGAATACTGCATGCAAATATTTGGAGCTAATTGGACTATTTAGAAAAACAGTTTTTGTAATATTATATAATGTAAAGTATTATTAATACCCTATAGTATAATAATAATTATAGGACATATTGTAGGTAATTGTAAGTTGAAAAATATGTTTTTTTTGGATATGTTTCTCGATTTTAAAAGAGGGATTATACATTTTTGCCCCAATAAGTACCTTTCGGGTACGATTTCGGAACCCTAGGCTACTACATAGGTTTAAAAAATAACATTATGTATCGTGGGTCCGTGCACTAAAATAAAACACTTTTTCATCTCCGTGTCGAAGCTTAAAATGCTTTTAATGAACTAATAACCTTTAAAGAAGAGATTCAAATTTTTCCTATTAAAGAAATTTTTAAAATTCAACATGAATAATGGACTTTTCATCTATTTAGTGGCTATTTCACATTATTGTTTCTATTATGAATAGTAGCCGTTTGTAAAATTACTCATTTTATACAAGGTCCATCATTAAATATGTCATCCATTTGACAGACGTATTAGGTGTAATGCACATAAAGCTTTGCAGCAAACTCAATATTGAGTTTTTTATATCTCTTTATCAGTGGCGAGGCATGGGTCTTTAGATCGGGGAGACATTGAAAAAAAATGGCGTTACGTGACTTGACAGGGGGACTGCGCCCCCTTGGACCCCCTGTATATTTTATTTTATCTATACTGTAAAAAATAAATGTTCAAAAACTAATAAACTAAATGGCACAGGCATATTTGAAAACGTACAACTAGACAATCGATACGACGTACATCGATAACGGCAAAAAAGACAATTTTGAAATTGTCTCATTTACTTTTATACAAAATTTGGATAGACCCGGCGGCCGGCAGCGCGACCGCCCGCTGATCCGCGTCCACAACTACTCTATTCTAGGAATACTATTACAAAAAAAATATACTTTTACATTAAAATTGGTTAAAACATTTTTATACACATAAATTAAAACCAAATTTTTGTCCGTATTATAAGTGGGTAGACATTGTCTCTTTGTCTCCTATGACGCTTCGCCACTGTTCTTTATACCTATTAGTATTACAGTACGTGATGCTTATTTAATTAATAGTACAAACTATGTAAAGTTAGACGTAATCCTCCATATTATGCTGTACTTGGCAAATACTAGAAGTATGTAAGTTCCTAACACTTGTGTAGCGTCATATTTGTCTTTTGGTAGAAACAATAGCAGATGTGGGTATAATAAATAATAGTAGTGTACATTTTAAGGTTTTTTGTTGTTCAACCACAGCCTATTTAAAAAAAAACATATTAAAATATTCTCTAGCTGCTAAAAAGAGGTTTTTTTTTAATTTAAAATATTTTGGAAATTTGATTTTTACTATTTGTCATTAAACATTTTTTTTTACTATTTAAATGTCTCAATATTTGTATATTTCTGTATTTTATTTTATATTTTTTAACTGGAATTCAAAAAATCTTTACGATAGCTCATTTAGGGGGGTACCAAATTTTAGCATATAATCCGTTTCCAACTTGACTTCGTATGTAAGGAAAGTTTGTTACTCCACCGCGTTAATACAAAGTGATTTCTTATAGGCTTTATATATTTACAAGGCCGGGGATCTAGACTATAAAATTTATTTTTACTTTCCACCGACTGATTAACGGGTCATCGACTTGTCCGAAGACGTTTCACTTTGTGTGTCGTGGAAAGGGTCCAACAATTTTAGCATATATAATATAGTGGATCGTGCCGTAACTTGGTAAAATTGTTGGACCCTTTCCACGACACACAAAGGAAAACTATATATATATAGTTTGTCTGGATTTCCAGCAAAACTGATGTTTATGTAGACTACACGCAAATAGTTTAATTTATGTCTGTAAGATCGAGTAGATCAGTGATTTATTGCCAACACCAGAGTTTTTTCCATTTTAACTTACCTCGAGTAATGTATGTATAATGTCGCGATAAACAGTTGTAACAATTGAACGATAATAGCTGCAAAAAGGAGCTTAGCTCCACATTATCAAGTTTTCGAGAAAACGTTTGATAATTCTGAACTCTTAAATTGTGTGAAAATTTCTATTTTGATAAATTGTTCTTACATATTATAAAGTATATATTAACTAAATATATATTGTCTATATTTTCAACACAAGGCAGTGTATATATAACTCAAAACTACCTCAGAATGAAACTCCTCAATATTGCAACTAACCAAAAGCTAACTTTTAATATTTAATTTGAATTTCTAACAGTAATTACAAAATATTTCAACGTTTCCACTTGATCGGTTAGCATACCAATAACAACAATTCTTTTCCATCTACAGTGAACACATTTAATATGAGACAGATAATAAAAAATTCTACCACAGCACAGGATCAAATTACTCGTGTGAACAACCAATACAGGTAGCATCTCTTTCATTTACATAACGATCCATAAAAATAAAAATAAAAATATTTTAACAAGCGACAATACATATCGGAGTTACAGCTACATTATGTTTGACGTTAATATTAGTATAATCGTAAAATACAAATTTTTAATTTCACTTTATTTAATTTTGTTTAAATAAAAAATATTTATTACGATTTTTTTTCTATGTACTAATAAGAGACAATGATCAGATTCTACTAGTAGCTCTAAGAACATAATATTTGAAATCAACAACATTAAATTTGATGTCTTCATAACAAACCCATTTAGATAATCGACCAATAATTATCAAGCGTGACAAGCAACACAACATTCAATCAGAGCTGGACACGATATTCTTAAACTCTAAATTCTTTAAAATGCTATTTGAACAAATCTGGGTTTGGGATTTAATTAATAGTTACAATTTTGATCGCTGTGAATACATTTTATTAATATTTAGAAATAATTATACAGTGAACATAGTACATAATATAATAATATTATTTTTATGCGAGTATTAATTTCTTAATAATAGCTAACATGTACACAACAACAGTTTACTAAAAACAACAAACATTAGCTTCTAAACAAAACTCTGTTAACGTTTAAAATTAAAAACGCCTACGGAAAATACTTTAAGGTCATTAAAAAATAATTAAATCTCAATAATTATAATCGCGTAGAGAATAATATGTTAATTTTTAAAATCTAGTGTCTTTCCTTTTCAAATTAAACATACTTTGTAACTCGATTACATCTAACAGTATAAATATTTGAATTATTATCAAAAGAGATGTAAAATAAAATAAAAAAAGAAATATAATATTTGCAACAGCTAACAAGCGTAGTACTTTAAGATTAAAAACCGAAGAATTCATCAATATTTATATGTATATAGGAAGCATTATTAGGAATGTTTATAGGAATTAACAATTTAAAATGTAAAATAACAAATTAAAACCTATTAATACTGCAATATCTCGAATAAAATGATTAAATACATGTATATAAACGCAACGCAAGTTATGGTTTTGAAAATACTTATTCAAAATTCTTCTATCCTGACTTTAGCACCTAAATTCTTTGTTAAGCAAAACAGCACAACCGTCCTAGTGTAGACACGACTTTAACATACAAGAAATCTTATAACAACATTAAGTACCTTTGGCGTGCAAAATCTTTATATGAGATTCTCGACACAATAGTAACTCTAAAAAAACTTACGTATATAAAAAAAATTAATAATAACAAAACAAATATAATAAAATAATAATAACTACTACTACATTTTGATCACTTTATGATTCGTTTGAGTTTGGTTTTTTTGATGAAACGCGCCTGATTATTTTCCTAAACGACGAAGTCCACTTGATCGAACGGTTGAACGCTCCTCTCTCGACGCTGGGCAATTTGTTGGGGTCCGTCGGAGTGGCCGAAGCGGACGAGATGCCAGAGTCCAACGAGAACTGACGGCGGTCGCTAATGCACTTGACATCGTCGCCCGTTTCTTCGTCTTCACTAGCCGAAGAGAATGCATCGTCGATATAGGAGACGAAGCGCGACAAGGAACCGCTCGCTATAGACCTCTCCGGTGTTGTCGGTGGTGTATGCGGAAAAGAACAAGCCGACAAGCGTTCGGCGAGCTTGGCACACTCTAGTTCTATGTCCGACGTGGACATGCGAGAGGCCGAACGGCGGAACTCGTCCAGCGGAAAACAACTACCAATCAGCTTGGAACTCTTGTCACTGTAAAATATAAAGAAAATTAATTTTAATCAGGGAAATAATTTTAGTAGTATATACACCCACAATAAATATCTTTTTTTTTTCATAAAATATTTTATCAAACAAACTTTAATTATAATTTTTAAAAGTATTAAATAACTGTAGAAATGTGACATTTTAAACAAGTTCTAAACTGTTTTCAGCAGTAATCACTAGAAATTATTGTTTTTTATAAAAAAAATTCACTTCACCAGTACAAAATTAGCTTCTTGTTAGGGGAACTTTTTTTGGGGGAGGAATTAATAAACAAAACTCGTGTGGACCACCCAAATCCGGATCTCGGACTTAACTCGAGATACATCAGAGCTAATCCTTCGATATTGTTATCTACGTGTCGTTTATCATAAGGTGAATTATTGTATTTATTGGAGTTGCTTCTGTTTTATAATGGAAGATATGACTAATAGGGACTCCATTAAGCAAAAATATGTATATTTAAAAATGTAGAGTTACAAAACTTTTACAATAAACGACCCACCATTTATTATAAATAAATAAAATGAACATTATATAAATGTCCGGAGGGGTAACTTACCCGTTTGTGGTGTACCCGCCGAACGTGCTTCTGGTGTAGGAACAAACCGAGCACTTCTTACGTCTGCACGTGGCCAAGTGTTTCATGCCCTTTTGCAGCTGACTGTTCAACGTGGCCGATTGCTTGGCCATTAACTTCAGTTCGTTCACCTCGAGCTCCACGCGTTTAGCTTTTTGGCTGGCTTGCCTGCTGTTGGTGTGATACAAGTCGGCCTTTCTGCCCAAGTCCTCCAACACTTCCTTCAGTCTGGAATTCTACAAAACAACATTTGATTAGAGAAATGACCACACCGTTCTAACGATTACTAAAATAAACAACAACGGCGACGAGACCGTACTTCTTTCTCAAGGGTATCCTTCTCGGCGGCTATTTCGGAAAACTGCCTGTAAGCGTCCATGCGGGCCCTCTCTAAGTTGCGGCGGGTCACCTCGGACGACTCGGCTTGCAGTCGCAGCTGTTTGTACGCCTCGTTTTTCTCCCTCTCCAGACGGTCCATCCACTTGACCATCTTGTCCTTTTCCGTCCGCAATTTCTCGCAGTCCTCTTCCAGCCTGATCACCTTTTCCAGCTGCAGGAACAGCTCTTCTTCCTTCTCGTGCAGCTCCAAATCTCTGGTCACCAGTTGTTTTTCCAACTCGTGATGAGTGTCGATCGAACTATCACGTTCCGCCTGCAATAAATAAAAAAAAAATTGAATACACCGCATTAAATCGCATTCGATCGACGGTGATGATGTCCAACAAAATTACATAGGTAATAGTAATCATATTATATCCAAACAGGTCAGTCGATAAACATTCACCGCACACACACACACTCACAATTCGCATAAAAGTGGGCTTACACGTCACGTATTCGTGCTCTGTTCGTCGCCACCATTGTTGTTTTTGTTCTGTTATAATATTGTAGATCCAAGCGGATCTACAATTTATTTATTGCACTTAATCCGGTTTTTTTTTTTATACTCTACACACTAAAATTTATCGTCCGTGCACATCGCCAGCAATATAGCAATAAAGGACAAGAGTTGTCTTGGCCGTCATCGCGGCCTGCGGGCAAGACGGCGACCGAAAAGTAAACCGCTAATACTTAGGTAGCTAAACTTATTCTGTTTTTCTTAATAATTATTATTTTAAGTGCTGTTCTAATAGAATGATGTCATCATGTTTTTCGTCCAGTGAAAAGCAGGCATTAATTGTGTAATTACAGTGACGCCGAACGTAGGTATACCTCATAAGAAAAAAATGTCATTAAAACCTAAAAAAGTATATTGGAAAACATAAAATTCGAAGGTAAGCGGTTGTCATGAGACGTATTTTGTGTTGTCTATTCTACTAGAAAATACTCTGCGCTTTACCAGGAAACGGTTTTAATAATATTATGTTCTATTAGACAGTCGACAGACAACATTTTTCATGGCAACGGCTGTCGCGGAAGTGATCGGATCGTTTTTTTTATTAACGTTACCGTTAATAAAATTTGGCTTTAATGTAAACCACCATATGGATATTACTGAACAGGTCCAGTCCGTTTGCATAAATAAGCGAAAGCGGAATTCGATCGTCGGTCGACTATGAGTAAGTACTCAATAATAATAATAACTAGAAGCCCACTGTGACTCGGCGGAATGGCGCGAGTTTCCAGCGCTCATTACAGCCCGGTGCTGTTAATTTTCAAACAGTTTCGATTATTATCTTTGAGAATCCGTATTCAATAAACTATAGATAATTAATTATCTCCTCCGGCAACAGTGTGGTGTACAAAAGAAGACGTACTTCGCGAATGAGGTCATCGTCTCGGTTTACGCAACAACAGATAATTTCCTAGACTTCGGATTGGCGGCGGTAATGCTATTTCAGTGTAAGCAAAAAAGCGACTCCCACTTCGCCTGAGGACAAATGCCTTCACCTTCGCGTGGTATTTGAGCTAGCTTGACGGCCCTTTTTTTTCTTAAATTCTTATTTTGTACCTTTTTTGATTTTAGGTTAAAATCGAGTTAATCACAACCAACGGTGTCGTGCACGGGAGAAATTCGGGTTGACCTATAGCAATCGATACCGCCGCTGTCCAGACTATAATATAATATTATAAAATAGTTGTCAAGACCCGCTTGGGGGGACAAAGCTCGCATTGGCCGTCAACCGATATGCGCAAACGACCGGCGAGGGCGTGATTCGTGTATAGAAGGATTACAGGCGATTTTTTTTTGCATGTGTAAAACCAAATTGGAAAAGACATTTCATGTTTGTACCACCAGCAGTGATCCGGTTTCAAAAACAAAATGGTCCTTCGAACCAACCGCACACAAGACCGCGATACTCGATGGCTGTAATAATATTTACAACAACACGAGTGTCGACGATGAAGCAGGAACGAAATCATATGCATTGTTTATATTACTGTTGCTAAAACGACAAAATTAAATGCTAATAAAATTTCGAAAAAATGTACCCAAGAGACAGGAGACACAAATCACAATATTTATACTGACAATACATTACCCTGACCTGTTTAGATAATAAAAAAAACTAAGGACGGAAATTACGAAGGTTCGTTGAGAGTTCATTTAAATAAATGAAAACCATGAAAGGTTCTCTTGGGCAATGGGCAATGGCAATATTATAAAATCAAACACTCGGGAAAGAGTTATTATAAAAAAAGCTCAATTAATTGAAATATGACGTTATGGACACTAATCAAAACGCTTTGTTGGTTATTTAATTGGATTTTGCATTCAAATATACTGAATATTTGTTAATTTATTATTTCATTGGAGCTTTAAATCCAGTCGCAGCTGTATTAACCAACTAGTCACACTGACCGTGATGGCTAACGACTACATTCTTGACCGAAAAAACTCAATTTTCTCATTATATGGTTGCTCAAGATTTGAATTTTTTTTCCGGTATACTATCAGTACTTATAGGAATTTGACATAGGAGAAATAGGAATGTGTCTAGCGTAAATGACCCAGATGATATTAACACATCCCAACCAAATGCACTGTCTTACATTTTAAGTTACAAACACAAAAATTTGTGAATTAAAATAAAAAGTTTTGCGTTGAACCAATAAAATAATAAGTACCACAATATATTGGATATATATTTTTTTTTTACAAAATTGGAAAATTTGTGAATTAATTTCAAACTAGATTAGGTGAAATCGCGAAACTTCTTACTAGTGTAAATCGATAGCAGAAATAGTATCAAGGCGAATGTCGTCCGACCGACGTCGTGATCCATAACAATCTCAATATTAATTTACTCCAAAATTGATGAACTATTTATTATTATATTATTATATTGCATTGCAACTGAGAAAATTCAACAATTTAATTTTACATGGCCAAATTTTGTTATTTTATTATCATGAATATTTTTTGCAATTATAAGTGATTGCATAAGCTTACTGTTTAATTATACTGTATCAATTTATAATATATCCATTTAAATAAGAAATGGAATGAAAAAATGGTGTCTTATACAATATTTAATTAATGTCTTATTTATACATTAAATTTTGACAAATATACTAAGTGTTTTGTAAAACATGAATGCTGATCAGAGAACAAAACTTCTAAGCTCATTTAACTTTTAATTTATATACGTTAACCAAATACAATGTTTATGTTTATATCTTTATTTATAAAATTACTAAATCGGTGATTATTTTAGTGGGTTTTTTTTATTTAGCTGCTTCGGCTTTCGCAATCACTCAATGTTTTTATTTTTATCCTTAAACTTATAACTGTAACCGTCCAAGTTTGGTTTCTAGTGTAGGTCTATAATGTCTTGATCGGAGCTACCCTTGGACTAAACCGTACTATCACTTTCGCAATCGGTATCATCTATTTTGTTTTTACCTTTTAACTTATAACTGTAATCGTCCAAGTTTGGTTTCTCGTAATGGGTTCTCCCTACTTCACCTGAAGACATTTTATTACTTTCAATGGATTTGTTATTGGATTTAAAGTTCAAACTAGACGCTTTATTTTTATTTAATTCTTTAATTTCATTCGTTGAATTGTCATGCTCATTTCGCGCTATCTTTTTTTTTTTTTGATCTAATAAACAACTATCGATTATTTTCATTAAGTTTTCTTGTTCTTTTTTTATTTCTTGAATTTCATCACTTGTATAACAGCCATATTCAGATTGCGTTGTCGATTTATTATCAATATCTGAAAAATAATCATCGTGTATTTCAACTTCTCGATTTGAGCGGCGGCGGCAATCGACCAAGGTTGGTTTCTCGTAACGGGAACTCCCAACTTCACCTGAAGACATTTTATTGCTTTCCAGGTATTTGCTTTTGGATTTAAAGTTTGAACTAGACGTTTCATTTTCAATTATTTCTTGAATTTCATCCATTGTATAATTGTCATGTTCAATTCGCGTTGTCGATTTATTATTAATATCTGATAAATAACCATCAAGTATTTCAATTAGTCGATTTGAGCGGCGACAATACCAGTCTTCATTATCATTTATAATCAAACTTCCTAAAATAAAATAATTAATTTAAGAACGGCTGGCGTAGTTATGTCTTGACCAAACATTAAACATTTCTTTGATATTTAGTTTGGCAAAAAAAAACCTAGTCGATTTTATTCAATACTATCCTCTTACTACCTAAACATCATACAAAATTACTGATAATTTCAAATCATAAAATGAAAGCACACATATAATTTGTAGTTATATTTTAAGGAAATATAACATTCTAATTAGTTTATATAAACTCGAGTTTTTTATTATGATTTTGATGTACATTGTTAAAACAAATTTATTATTATCAACGATAATACGAACAAATTTAACAACTCTTCTGTATGATAAGTCTAGATAATAACCAATGCTTGGCCAAATAGCCTTACAACATCGGCTGTATGTAAGTTTTCTCAAATGAACTTTTTTTTTATAAAGTAATACAATCATAAGACTGAAACTTTATTTTTTTTAAAGATTTATGTTTATTTATCAACTTGTTTGTGAAATTATCGAAAAGAGTTAACTTACCAACTACGACCGACTGAAAGCAATCCCGTGGCATTTTTCTAAACATATTCCTGTGATCGATGGTTCTTTTTACAATCAAAAATGAGTTTTCATGTAATATTAAAACGCGGTAAACGAAATCTTCGAGTTTAACAATCATTTGTTCAACATCCGACCAAGCTGCGATCACATTCTCTTGACTTTCGAATTTCAACCGATTCAATAACATAGGTTTTGAACATAAATTTAAAACGCATGATAATAAATTGGGGTTTTTTGTCTTCAATTTACTATAGTTTACATGATTTACAATTATTTTTAGTTTGTCCGCTATTCTGTATACATGCGTTTTCACTTTTTGGGGATAAATGTCTAGGTTTAAATCAAGATAAATGACTTTCAACAATTTATTACCTAGTTTAGTTATCATTTTTCTATCGTAATCAAATTTTAGATTGAATTGTTTGACGTACATATGCACACAAATGAACAAGGGATGTATTGTGGCCGCTAATACCTGTTGTTGATAAGATTTCAAGAAATTACCATCGAAATTCAATATCTCATAATCCAATAAATCACCAACGGTATGTTCAGTAGTTTGATTATTGACATGCGAATTCACAACAACATCACACATAAGGTTTAACACATCATCAATAACTGAAGTACTTGCTGATTCCGCATCGGTCCGTTTACACAATCCGGACATCGTATCATAAAACAGCATATGTTTTGGAAGGAAATCCTCAAATTTTTTCTCATTTAAAGTCTGCTGGAATATCTCATCGACTTCTAAGATCATTCCATTTAAAAATGGCTGTATCTTTTCAATATCGGTTTCTACTAGAAGTTTGGACAAATGTATAACTAAACGTCGTAACGGTACAAACCGTGGGTTTAGCTTATGGAAAGTAAACAGAAAACGACGACAAGAAGGGTAAATAAAATTTAAAAGAGTAGCAGTTATCATTTTATGATTGACTACATACCCTGATCTCAAGCTAAATTTGTCATATTTTTTTACATTCTCGCCTTCGTTTGGATTGCAAGGGCTGTACACGTTCAGACTACCTGTTATGTTGTTTAAATACAAATTAACCATCATCAAATCCGAAGGATACATTTTACTATTTATGTTTCTCAACTCGTCAAGCATGGCCAACACAATATATTTGTGGCTCTGAAGAATCTTACCATAGGTTCTGACATTATTATCATCGAAAATCGCTTCGTTGTTTTTATAGTAATTAAGCACAAAATTTCTCTCGTTCAGCTCGAAAAATCTGAACATATATCTTGAAAAAAGACAATGCAAATGCAGTGCGTCTCTATTCATCATTGTTGAAATCGATCCAATGAATAAAAATATGATAAACACGATCACACCATACATGATGATATCTATAATACAACTTTTCGAAAAGACGTGAATAACAAGAATATTGTAGAAAATTTGTTTTTTTTTTTAGTTTGATACGTATCTACGCATTTATTGTTCTACTTTAGTGATTATACGAATAAGGTTGCGTATTTATTCAAGCTGTGCTTCGAAAATATAAATGAATAACAAAACATTTTATACTAAGGAACCAGATTTCGTTAAAATATTTTTGCTATGGTATACATACTCCAAACAAATAACACAGTAAAAAAGAGCTGATAAAATATATACCTACATTACAATAATACAGTATTCTGCTATTTTTAAGTGGCAAAAATATTCAATAATACATTAACAATTATTTCAATTGCGACAAACAAAAAAAGTACTTGTTTTTTTTAATACAATTAACACGTTAATAAATTGTTCACGTACATTTTCATTTTTAGAAATTACATTATTTTAATGTGACATCGATATGATAATAATTGGTCTTGTAATTGTAGTCTTATTATATTTAAAATTATAAAAAATAAACTCTAACGGGTGGCGTGCGGATTTGGTTTAAACAAAACAATACAAATAAAGACATTTTTTTATAACACTATAGCACTTATCACAACATAACGCCAATGCACCAGTTTTACGGAGGTTATGTTTGGTCAGTTATAAGAACACGTTGAACATTCAATTTAACAGACATTGATATTAACACACTTGCAACATAAAGTACTCCGTACTCGTAAAATCAATAAAAATTATTAATATATAGGATTTATGATTTTTTTATTACTGGCTACTGCTAATACATTTTTTTTATATAAAGCCTAAGGATAGAGGAGTTTGAAGTATTCAGGCCGGTATATTATTATGTAAACATTGAATACGAAATTGGGAATCGAAAACCTTTTAGCGACATCGCCTTTACACGGAGACGACTTTTTTTCACAATTTTCGAAAAAACAAATCATCAGACGGTATTCTTATACTTATGCGCATTTTGCTAGTATGTGCCCACGCTCAGAGCAGTCAAAGCAAAGGGCAATGGTTGCAGACTGCGTGGGGAGCGATAACATAACTTGCACCTCGTCCCAAATCTGTTTTTCGCTTTGTATACAACATAAAACGTACACTATACCTAATCCTGTTTTATCTTCTCGACTCCGTTCTCTATTGAACAAGTTCGAGATGACTCTTCTACTTTCGAGCCTATTCTCTCTAGTAGGTTTATTGTCTCCTACACAACGGGTATTTAGTGAAATCCCTATGGCGTACAAGAAACCGAACGACAAAAAGACCCTTTTGTTTGTTTTTTTCTTATTACTTTACTTTTCCTTTTTGCGTTATAAGTCGAACCCGTGTCGTGCTCGTCGCTAACTGCGTGCGCGCCCGATCAGCAGCAACGTTCATATTCTCTATAATGCTTTCTACTGCTAATACAAGTTATACAACACACTAAACTATTATAATACTATGTACCAGTGACAATATTTAGCATTGGTGCGGTGGCGTGCGTGCCTTTTTTCACCAAAGGACAAAATATTGCGAAATTGCGTTTTACTAGCTGTACGCTGTGCGATAATTCAGCGTACAAACATTTAACGTACCGGGTACAAAAATTGCATAGACTGATAACATTATACATAAACACACATTCTATATACTATTACATAATATATTCATTATTATTATTGTTGTTGTTATCATGACCTCCGTTGAATCGCCACGATCATGTCGGGAAAAACATAACTACAGAAACACAGTACTAAAATTGTATGCAATAAAAATATGTTCTATAATCTCCCTTAAATCAAATACTACTTCATAGAGTCGGTAAAATAAGCACCGAGAACTAATTACACTATATCTTTCAACTCCAAAACATCATCATCCAAGGTTAAGGATTTCACATAGTTTATGACTACACTAAAACTATTGAACAATAGTTTTAGTCGTGCTTGTTACCACTGTTATATAGAATACGTTTTAGATAGGTATGTTTTAAAACTTAATTTTGCAAATTATAATCACGGCAGAGCTATCGTCTTACATAAGATTCGTTTAAACTATGTAAGACAATAGCTCTGGCGTGATAATAATTCACAAAATTAAATTTTAAAACATACAGACCTATTAACTTCAATGATAGCGCAATACAAAATATGATTTTAAATAATCCTATTTGAGTCAAATATTAATTCCATGTTATCAACACACTTATTTGTTAAAATAATTTATCGGTATTAAATACGAATCAAAATACGACGTTATGCACAGCGTGAATGTTTTGATGTAATAACATTCAGACTTTATGGTCGAAGAAGATATTAAAAATGCCTTCACGACTTATTGTTTCACACGAATTTTAAATTACCAACGATCTGGTAAAAACATACAAATCAATTATCGGATGTTTCGTTATACATTTGAACTAGGCGAGCCGCGAGTCATGCTTAGCTAAGGACAACTTGCTTGTCTCGCGCGTTTATTTAAAATATCCGTAATTCATAAGTATTGTACGATGAAATAAGAATAATAAGTTTAGATGAAAAAAAAATGGGAAATAATTATTAGACGAAACTTCCGACATTCGCGGTAAACCGATTAGAGAACAGGCCAGGTATACTTTCTCTGCGGTTCACGATAATTATAATAATACATAATCATTAATCACCATCGAGATTCTTACAGAAAAATAAAGTCGAACAAGTTGAACTCCTCTATACGTGTGTAAAAATGTATTATCGTACGGCCTGCATGAAATCTTAAAACCGATTACACATAATAGATGAAAATAGATAGGGTCACTTTCAATGTAAACAAAAAAGTGGCGGCCATTTTGTGACGGACTAAATAGTATTATACGTTATATATGTATACACTACAAATAATAATAATGTATAGATATAACATTATAGCGGGGTAGTCTTAAGAAGATGGCTGCCGCGTTTTTGTTTGTCTTAAGTATCTCCCCGTGATAATTTGTATAAGTGTCCGGGGCCTGCCGATTATACAGTATTGGAAATAATAATACGCGTGACTAATTTACTAGAAATAATTTTTAAAAAATACGATTTGTTAGAAAATATAAGTATATTTCATAATATTATGGTTCGGCGTTTTCAAGGCCTCTTCGGTTTTATCAGGAATTAAAAAACAAATTATCTTGATCGTACAAGCACTTCGCATCGTATGATACTATTTCTTTGAGCAAACCGAAACTAAAACACATTGTTACTAGTTGAAAAAACAATAATATTTAGTCGCGCAAGTCCAAAACAAATATTAATTTACCTTATTCACGCCTTTTCTAAGTATTGTTTGACGTTATCAACCAAGTGTGTACTTGTGTATACAACTTAAATTAACATCATGCCATTTTTTTTTTGTGGGGCGTTCCTTTTTTTTCTTTGCGTCTAGTCGAATATAAACGGCGCAAATCCCGAAAAGTTGAATACCGAGCCATTTAAACGGTTTGTCCGTGAAACTATGGACTTAACTATACCATATACATACATAGATATAATACCCACATTATTACTAAAGTAATTGTAGTTATTATAGTTATAACAATAGATCAAATGTATAGAAACAATTTTGTAAGGTGGGGAGTGTTTGACGACGACACGTACAAAAAGAAAACGCCTGTCGTGTCTACCGGGCGGCTAAATCACACATTAAAAACGTAATATACGGTCATTTCCATTGTTGGGCTTATGATGATTTCTCGTTGGGTTTTGTTTGAATGTTTAAGCACCGGATCATCATCTCGGCATCAGGCTATTGTTCGCCAGCTTGTATATAAACAGCGATCGTGCCCAGACGGGTTTAATAATAATATGTAAACGGAAGTACACGATTTCCCGTTACGAATGAATGCAAGACGAATATATTTTTAAATCAGCGCCGGTGAACGTCTTGGAAATATATACATCAAAATAAATACATATTATTATTATCTATACATAGACACTACCATAGATCCAACACCGTTCCATAAACATCAGTGACCGTTTCTCATAAACATCATCAGTCGCGTCAAAAACGGTCATAACAAAATATATTACATTATACGCTATGCCTATAATATTGCAACAAACGATAATAAAAGCGAATAATACCATAGTGAAATTACCGCATCGTTTTTTTAAAGAAATACAAAATACACCAGGGGCCATGTCCGGCTTCAGCGTAACCAAACATTCCGATTATTATTATTATTATTACTATTATCAATGCACGTACGCAACACAATTAAACGGGCATTCGTCGAAATTGCTTTTGGACCGATCTCAGACCGAACCACAGGTATCACCGAACCAGAGTCTGATAACTTGTTATATTATATAGTACATACTATATTATACTATGCTATACTGTTTTATTTTATTATATCATATTGATTCCAATAAACTAACCCTGTACAACAATCGTTGTTTGTGAAATTCGCCAGTACACCCTTAATCAGTTGAAGTATAAACATTTTAAGAAGGACGCGTATCGTCTCATCAAAACGTATCAACGTATCATATTATTGTTATATTCTTGAGAACACAACTTAATGGAATGCCTGAAAATTAAGCAGTCTAGTTTCGGCCTAGTACTCTCTTATCTACAAAATCAACAGCATGACTGGGCAAACTCTATGCTGAATGAAAAGTAACTAGTATTTCATAACTCGTTGCGCGGTTTAAATTATTTTTACAGATAAAAATACATTTCACATAACAACAGTTCTACGAGTTATCCGATTTAAAAGTTTAACAATTCAAAAAGATTGATGTCACAGCATTATTTTATTAACAATCGCTTTCGTTTTTTTTATTATCCCTATGCACATTATTTTCACAAAACTAATAGGACCAAATTAGTGTTGTCCAAAATTCGAGCTTAAAAGACCTATGTACATAATTATATTCTGACCTTTGTTCGACGAATATCGTTTTCGGCGGGTCATCAGTCGTCGTTTCATGATTACTAGTTTGAATAATAATAAATGTCTTACTGACGTAAAACCCC